GTCCCCAGCATTAAGCCTGGCCTTGGCCCTCCTGGAGCGTGTCCCCATCTCTAAGCCTGGCTTTCCTGGAGCATATCCCCAGCATTAAGCCTGGCCTTGGCCTTCCTTGAGCATGTCCCCATCTCTAAGCCTGGCTTTCCTGAAGTGTGTTCCCAGCTCTAAGCCTGGCCTTGGCCTTCCCAGAGCGTGTCCCCAGCTCTAAGCCCGGCCTTCCTGGACCATGTCCCCAACATTAAGCCTGGCCTTGGCCTTTCTGGAGCATGTCCCCATCTCTAAGCCCGGCCTTCCTGCTGAGCATATCCCCAGCATTAAGCCTGGCCTTGGCCTTCCTGGAGCATGTCCCCAGCTCTAAGCCCGGCCTTGCTGCCGAGCATTTCTTCCAGCAGTGCCGGAGCTTCTGCTCTTCCTCCACTGCTCTTTTCCCTTTCACCGACTGAGCCTTAAGCGCATAAAATGCAGAACCCCCTTTTCCCCTACCAGTAACCCCCCCTTTCCCCGAGCCTCCAGCCCCGGGCAGGGAGTGTTGGTTGTGTCGCCCTGTTCCCCCTCCCTGGGGTTTGTGGTGTCCGTGGCCCAGGTGGCCCAGGCAGGGTTTGTGTGTCCCCCTCAACCCGTGCCGGTTCCCGGCAGATGCTGGTGGTGTTCAAGTCGGCGCCGATCCTGAAGCGGGCGCTGAAGGTGAAGCAGGCCATGCTGCAGCTCTACGTGCTCAAGCTGCTGAAGATCCAGACCAAGTACCTGGGGCGCCAGTGGAGGAAGAGCAACATGAAGACCATGTCGGCCATCTACCAGAAGGTTCGGCACCGCATGAACGACGACTGGGCCTACGGCAACGGTGAGTCGGCGGGACCGTCCTGTGCAAGTTTGGAGCTGGCTTCCTGCCAAGCCTCCGAAACTTGACAACAGGGTCTGCTTCCCAGAGAGGGAAGAAAGAAACCAAGCAGCCGAAGTTCTGGCAAAAATATATATTTTACGTATAAAACAGATGTATACGATGAGAATGTTATATACGTATCTATAACCCCAGAAACCCCAAATAGCTTCCCAAAGGGAAGAGGGGAAGGGAGAAGGGAAAAAGGATAAAATAGGACGAAAAGGGACAAAAAACAAAACGGGTCTACACGATCTAAAAACCCGGTAACCGGCAAACTGAGGAATTGGCAAAATCTCACCACTTCCCTTGAGAGAAGCAGGATGTCTGGACGTGGCCCAGCACTCTCCCCTCACACGTGGCAGATAACAGCAGCCACTGTAGGCCTCAGCTCCAGATAAGCCAGACCAAGACAGGGACCCACCGTTCTCGAACCTGGCCGGAAAGGAAGAGAGTGAGCTCTGTTATCTACCCCTTATTTATACCCCAAGTTCCGTAAAGGAATAGCATGGAATGCTTCCGTGAGCACCTTCCTAGTTCCTTCCTGGTTACAAGCTGGTCTCCAGGAAGGCCTAGACTGAAACCATCACACATCCCCTTGGCTGGGCTTGGCCTGAGACCTCCCGGAGTCCCCCAGACCCGTTTGGTCGGGACCTGTGAGCTGCTCCGGCGGGAGGGAGCAGCTGGATTGCGGGAGGAACGGTGGGAATGGGCCATGGCCAGCTTCCCAGCAGGAGTGTCCCCCGAGCCCAGAGCTCGCTGCTGCATCCCCAGATCATTTCTGGCACCGGGTCACTCAGTTGTCCCGGTGTCCACACGTAATGTGTGCTTTGGATGGCCTTGGAGTGGGAATCTGCCAGGCAGCTCTGCACTCACACCTGAGGGACAGCAGCAAGTTCACCCCAGGATACGCCGAGTTCCTCACCTAAAGCCCAGACTAAATGAGCTGCTCAGTTTAAACTGAGCTAAATTTTTTTGGTTTTGAGGGATGTCATGATGTTCCTCGTGTATTAATCCATGGGACACACCAGACTTTCATCCCCCTGTAAGTCCACCCCGTTGCTGCAACAACCGACTCAAGCTTGGGACGAGAAGTATTAAATTATCTTTTCGCCTTAATAACTCAGTCCTAAATTTTTGCTCTGCGTGATGTGGCTTCTTTTTCATAGAATCATGGAATGGTTTGGGCTGGAAGGGCCTTAAAATCATCCAGTCCCACCCCCTGCCACCTTCCACTATCCCAGGTTGCTCCAAGCCCCAGCCTGGCCTGGGACACTTCCAGGGATGGGGTTTTTAACGAGGGTTAAGTAGGAAAATTGGGCAGCATTCCTGTTTCAAAAGAGAACAAGGCAAGGAGAACAAGGCCTGACATCTTCTCTTTTTTTTCCCAAAAGACAAAACCATTTTAATTCTGTCAGAGCCTGGGGTCTTTCTGAAAAAAAGCAGAATGGTAATTGTAGGGAGTCCTTAAAGCAGGAGGAATTAGATTTCTGTAGGATGCATTAAATTAAAATGCATACATAATGGAATTTTGTTAGGAGGAATAAGAATTAAGAAAAGAATAAGAATTTAAAAAAATTTAAGGAAAAGAAAGGAGAAGAAGAAGGAGGAGAGGAAGAAGGAGAATAAGGAGAAGGAGAATAAGAAGTGAATAAGAAAAAAAGAAGTAAGAAGAAAATAAGAAGAAAAAGAAGAAACAAGAAGAAAATAAGAAGAAAAAGAAAAAAACTGAAGAAGGAGGTGGAGAAGAAAATAAGAAGAAGAAGTAAGAAGAAAATAAGAAGAAAAAGAAGTAAGAAGAAAAAGAAGAAAAAGAAGAAAATAAGAAAAAGAAAAAACTAAAGAAGGAGGAGGAGAAGAAAATAAGAAGAAGAAGTAAGAAGAAAATAAGAAGAAAAAGAAGTAAGAAGAAAAAGAAGAAAAAGAAGAAAATAAGAAAAAGAAAAAACTAAAGAAGGAGGTGGAGAAGAAAATAAGAAGAAGAAGTAAGAAGAAAATAAGAAGAAAAAGAAGAAACAAGAAAATAAGAAAAAGAAGAAACAAGAAGAAAATAAGAAACAAGAAGAAGCAAGAATAAAATAAGAAGAAAAAGAAGTAAGAAGAAAATAAGAAAAAAAGAAGAAAAATAAAGAAGGAGGTGGAGAAGAAAAAGAAGAAGTAAGAAGAAAAGAAGAAGAAAAAGAAGAAAAATCAAGAAGGAGGAGAAGAAAAAGAAGCAAAATAAAGGAGGAGGAGAAGAAAAAGAAGCAAAATAAAGAAGGAGGAGGAGAAGAAAGAGAAGGAAAATAAAGAAGGAGGAGGAGAAGAAAGAGAAGGAAAATAAAGAAGGAGAAGAAGATAAGAAAAAGAAGTGAAAAAAGAAGGAATAAGTGACTGGTCAACTCCAGCACGTGTTTGCTGTGAAATCCTCACCCTTTCTCTCGCCCAAACCTTTATGAAGTTGTTATTTGCTTCACCCCACACTCACTATGTCGTTTTTTTTGTCTCCCCTGCCCTGCAGACATCGACGCCAGGCCGTGGGACTTCCAGGCCGAGGAGTGCACCCTGCGGGCCAACATCGAGGCCTTCAACGGGCGCCGCTACGAGCGGGCGCGGCCGCCCGAGTTCTGCCCGGTGGACAACTGCCTGCAGAGCGTGCTGGGCCAGCACCTCGACCTGCCCCGGGACTTCCACTACTCCTACGAGCTCTGGCTGGAGCGGGAGGTGTTTTCCCAGCCCATTCGCTGGGAGGAGCTGCTGCACTGCCAGTGATGTGGGCCCGGGCCCTGTGTGGGAGAGGAGGGTTGGTTTGGACAGGGAAGGGTCTCAAGTGATCTTTCTCGAGAGACCAAACCTCTTCTTGTCCACCCAGACGCTGCCAAGGTGCCACCTTTTTTGGAGGCCACCCCTTTGCTGTGATTTCTGGGAGCACCAACTTGGAGCAGCACCTCTTGCACGGAGGCCATGGAGAGGCCCCGGCGTCGAGGGGTTGTTGGGGCCTTTTGTTTGTCCCAGTTTTCCCGGTTTTTGGGGGTTAGGAGCCCGTAATAAGCTCACTCACGTGGTCTTTGCTGCTGTCCCTCAGCTGGGGTCACGCCTGTCACATTGGTGTCACAGTTCCTGGTTGGGAAAGGTTTCCATCTCTGGAATTCCTCCTGGCTGGGAAAGGTTTCCATCTCTGGAATTCCTCCTGGCTGGGAAAGGTTTCTGTCTTTCCCGAATTCCCCCTGGCTGGGAAAGGTTCCCATCTCTCCCAAATTCCTCCTGGCTGGGAAAGTTTCTCATCTCTCCCGAATTCCCCCTGGCTGGGAAAGGTTCCCGTCTCTCCCGAATTCTCCCTGGCTGGGGAAGGTTCCCATCTCTCCCAAATTCCTCCTGGGTCAGAAAGGTTCTTGTCTCTCCCAAATTCGCCCTCGCTGGGAAAAGTTCCCGTCTCTCCCAAATTCCTCCTGGCTGGGAAAGGTTTCCATCTCTCCCGAATTCCCCCTGGCTGGGAAAGGTTCCCGTCTCTCCCGAATTCCCTCCTTTGTTTTCCTTTCTCCCCTCACGGCTGCTGATGTGCTTCCAATGCCACATTGGTGGTGACTCTGAGGGATCACTGGGAATGCCTCCAACCAGGCTGACTTGGCCAATGGAGACAACATTCCCTGGGATCCGTGACCCAACTCCCAGGGGTTCGGTTCCACACGTGACAATTTTTGCCCATTCAATCCGTTCCCTTCCCACCACTCCACTTCCCTCCTCCGTTCCCTTCCGTCCCGTTTTTCCAGGAGCGACCCCACGGCTGTTTCAGGTTGGTTGTCTCTTCCTCCTGGTTGTTTTTGAGGGATAATTCCTCCAGCACTGGGATTCCAGGTTGCTCCTTAAGCCCTTCCAGCCCTGGAGGAGGCAGGGAACCACCCCTCTACTAAACAACCTGATTTTCACAGGGATTTTGGGTTATTTGGGGGAATTGTTTGTGCTTTGCTGGATACTTTATTGCCATAACGTGAGGAGAAGTGGGGACACTGTGGCTCGTAGTTTTCCTAATGAACAGCACACGAAGCTGTAAATTTTCTCTGAGTTTAGTAACTTAAATTAATACTTAAATTAAATAATAAAAGCTGCACTTGGGCAAGGCTGTGCTGCATGAGGATGGCGTTTGTCAAAGCATTCTGTGTTAGCCAAGAGGGCTGTGCCATTACCAATAAATCAAACCCACGAGTTTTGTTAGGACGAGGTTTTGTGCTTTTTTTTTTGCTGTGGAAATGTTTCCTTCATGGGGTTTGTCCCAGCTGTTGTTCATGGGAGCGGCATTAAACCCTCTAAAAACCTTTCTGAATGTGCTTTTGTTCAAAACAGAAGCCACTTGGAAAGGGCTTCTCTTTATTTCAGCTTTTTTCTTCCCGTGCCTTGATTTAAATGCTTCTTTTTCTCCTTTTTTTTTTAATTTTTAAAGGGCAAAACCATCCCTCTCACCCCTGCCCACACCCATTTCTCCCCCTGGTGTGGACAGGCCCCAGCGTGGCACACTTTGGATGCCCTATTCCAGAGTATCCCTAGAATCCTGAAGGAGAAAAATGGAATTATGGGCTGTGTTTGTGCTGGTTAAAAAGCAAAAAGTTCTTCAAAGCCTCTCCAAGGACGAAATCCAGACACACAACCTGCGATGGAAACGTGCCTTGGGGATCCCACAAGTGGATCATCATTTAATTCCCTTCCCAAAATGTGGCACCTCCCGCTTCCCTAAATTTCCTGGGAATAATTAAAGGTTAAATAAACACACAAAAAAAAACCAACCCCCAGCTGGAGCTGAGAGGTGACAAAGGGTCTGTTAAAGGTTTCAGTTTTACAAACACAGTGTAAGTGATGTTATTTTTGTCCCATTCTGGTGTCCCGAGCCCAGGACTGGCCCTATAAAACCCCTCAGGTTTTGGCTCAGACCTTTCTTTTTTTCCCCTCAAAGTGTCTTACTTTTCCCCCTCAATATGTCAGAAAAAAATAACCAGTAGCTACATAAAGTACATTTCTCTATATTTCATATTTAAATTGTGCTCTGTAGAAGGTTTTTAAGGTTTTTCAGTGCCTGTTATTTTTACTGACCTGGAGATCAGAAATCCAAAGTAGAAATACAAATTAAAAATACAAATTAGAAATAAAAATTAGAAATACAGTAGAAATTCGTATCAGAAATACAAATTGCTGCCTGACTGTCTGTGTGGTGGAGGGTGGTATAAACTTATCTTGGAATATTATTTATTTCCATCCAAAATTTCTGCTTCCTAGAGATGGATCTCTGTAAAAAACCTGAACCTCTGTGTAAAATAAACCAACCAGGGGAGGGTTACACCATTTAACTTAAATATTTATATTATTTATATTTTTATATATTTATATTTATATTATATTATATGATGTTATATTATATTATATATGTATATAATTCATATATTACATACTATATATATTTATTAATTATATATTTTACATATTATATTTATGCATCATAATATATGATATATAGTATATAATATTATATATAGAACATTATATTATATATTATATAACATATATAATCATTTATATTGTATTATATATTATATATAATATATAAAAATATATATAAAATATGTAATATATTATGTAATGTAATATATTCTATAATATATTACAGTATTATAACACATAATATATATTATACATTATATATTATATTACACATTATATATTATATTATATATTATATGTATAATTATATATTATTATATGCAATATGTGATATATTGCATAATATATTATAATATATAATATATGTTAAAATATTGTAATATAATATATATTATGTATAACATATATTATTTATATTATCTATTTTATATATCACATTTATATTATATAAAATATATAATATATATTATAATATTATTATATGTTTTATATATATATATAAAATATTTATGTCTCCCCAAGGCAGGCAAGGAGCAGTTTCAAACTTTTTTATTTGCTTCACAAGGAAGATTTTTCTTGTCCTTAAGAATTCCCTGGCAGACAAAAATTCTGGAACCCTCATTTTGCTGTTTCTCAGGACATTTCCAGAGCAAAGTCTGTGGCGGTTCCTGCCCTGCCGGAGGAACATCCCTTATCTCTCCCCGGCATGAGGGGGTTCCAGGAACCCTCCCGTGCTCTCAGTTTCTGCAGTAATTGGTGTATAAAGAACTGGTTTTTTCCACTTCCAGGTGTTTGCTGAAGGGTTTGCTGTGGGTGGGTCCTTTCCTTCACCAAAACCCCCCAAAATCAACACAGAAACGCCCCAAAAATCACCCCAAAACCACTCCAAAATCACCCCCAAAAAATCCCCCAAAACACCCCGAAAGCACCCCAAAAATCACCACAAAAATGCCCCCAAAATCACCCCAAAAGTCATCCCAAAGCCACCCCCAAAATACCCCCAAATCAGCCCAAAAACACCCCCAAAATCCCCCAAATCACCCCAAAAACGTCCCAAACCCACCCCCAAAATCACCACAAAAATACCCCCCAAAACACCCCAAAAATCACCCCTAAATACCCCAAAAATCACAAAAAAATACTCCCAAAATCACAAAAAATACCCCCAAAATCACCCCAAACCCGGCCTAAAACAGCCCCAAAATACACCAAAATCACCCCAAAAATCACGGCCAAAACACCCCAAAAACACCTCCAAAATCACCCCAAAAATACCCCC